CACCCGGCCCCCGACGGCAGAGCGGGTCTGAGAAGCGAAGGAGGCAGCCGGGCAGGGAAGGGGCTCGGGAGCTATTTTTGCTTCCCGGCTGAAGGCTTTTGTGTGGCTTTCCTCCTGCTGCAGAGGCAGATCTAGGCTGCTGAGCTCATGGAAAGGATTTCTGAGCACTAATTCTCTGTTACACAACAAACCTATTTTCCTCTGACACTGAGCAGGAGCCGCCCGCCCCACGGCAGCTCTCTCTGCCAGCCCGCCTTCCCCAGCAGCCTTCAGCAGCACCCGCTCTGGGGGGACAAACCAAACAACCCCCGAGGTGGCCACGAAGGGCTGCACAGGCCCCAGGGCGATCCTGCTCCGCAGGGCGACGGGGCAGCCTTTCCAGCAGCAGCGACGCAGAGTCTGGCTGGGTCTTCCTAGGGGGCTTCCCCAAAAGGCAGCAGTGGCTGCCCACACGCAAGGCAGAGATAGAGATACATCTGCAGTATCAGAGGGTAGAACCTGCAAGCTTACCAAAGCAGCTTTGTGTGGTTCTTACTTCTAACCAAAGCTGAAACTGTCTTCAGCAAAGAGTAACTGCTTGGCAGTGCCGCTCTGACGTGGTCAGCGTGGAAAGACAAGGTGGCAGAGTGTCCCTCTGGGAAACAGACAGTACTCTGAGCCTTCTGTTTCAGGAGTTTGGTTGGTACAATCACAGGCGGCTCCTTAAGAAAAAGCGGAAGGCCCAATGCCTTTTGCTATGAGGAGATAAGTGCAGCAACCCCCAACAGGGTTCTTCCTCACTTTCCCAGATGCTTTTCAAACAGGATCCCTCTTGCCGGCGTTACCAGCTGCTCCAGGAACCCCCATCTCCCCTTTGGCTTCCCGTGGTGCTTCGGACAACGCATGCGGCTTCTCTGTGCACGGTGTGCCCGGGCAGGCATCCCCTCGCAGGGCCACTGTCCCTCTCAGTGCTGTAGCGCAGGGTACAGGCGGAGCAGCCTTTTCCATGTCCTCTCTTAGGCCGCCTCCGTGGTGGAGGTAACACACACACTGTCACAGACCGCAGGAGCCTCAAATAAAACGGGCGAACACAATTTAATTAAAGCGAAGCACATAAGTAAAAGCTGGCCCTGAGCAGCAAACTGCGTCTGTCTAAATAAACATGACTGGGATGTGCAGTGCCATCTTCTGCATTTTTATTAAATCCTGACAGTTATTAAATGTCTCCGCTGGAGGATTCGCCTCCAAAAGCCAACGTTGCTTTTAATTTTGAACTTTGATGAACTGTCTCAATTTCGACTCACGCATCTGCTGAACTGCAATTGACTGAGGCTGATGCTTCTGAGGCATGGAGGAAAATCAATAAGGAAATGTCACGGGAGAGGTCAAACCGAGCGGGGATTCACCGATGGCCAGTGTGCTCGCCGAGCAGCAGTACCTGAACAAATGGAAATGCTAGGGGCGGGGGGTGCTTCTGCCACTGAAGTGTCAGGAAAATGAATTTCGTTTGCTCTTTAATTGTATTTTGATTCTCAGCTGGGAGCTGTCACTGCAGGACCACGAGACATGGCTGGGAAATGCAAGAACAGAAAGGTGTGTTTTGCTCAGGACCTGGGAAAACTGCCATTTGGTGCTTCCCAACCTCCAGCCAGCAATGCAAGCTTTCCTCTCCATCCGCTTCACTCCAGCATAAAACAGGCATCAGACTGCGCCCGCAGCTCGAGAGCCCAGAAGCAATAGCTGGTGTGCCGTTCCCTGTCGCCTCCAGGAAACCTGCACCTGAAAGGCAGACGGGTGCTCTCTGGATCAGCAGCATAGGGCTCCAGTAAGCTGCACCCAACCGGGTGCATCTTGCTCTGGTAACACGATCACACTTTGAATACTGAAAATCTCCTGAATTTCCCACACGGTATTGGCCATTTTCTGAAGAAAACTCAAACAAGAACAGGAGACACAGGGTTCAGCTGTCCAGTCATATAGCACAGCGGCCCTTGCTTCTGCTGTATTTCGCTCTCTTCAAGGCAGATACCGAACTCCTGTAAGTCCGTCCCATCTTTGGGTCCCATTTACAACACCGTGCTCAGCACAGAGCTGCCTCCAGGCTCCGCCAGGGCACAAAGAACAGCAACAGGTATTCACCAGCCCACCCGTAAGCACCGTAGGTGTTTGTGCTGGTATTTTACTGAGCAGTTGCTGGAAAGGAGAATATTTCCCCTAGCGCCCTCCAGACACACGCAGGCTGAGCAGGAGCCAAGCATAGCTGGCTGCTTCAGCAGCAGCTCACTCATTGCCTCAGCCTGGGGAGCACCAAGGACAAGCACCCAGCTGACTCCAAATTTTGAAAGGACTTTTCTGCACGTCCTGACCCCTGCGGCATCAGCCAGTTGACATAAGGACATGGGGCTCTTTGGCCAAAGAGCCTGAAGAAACACAGCACCGCCTGCCTCCCGGCACTGACAGCTCTGTGGTCGCTGCGCACCGACGTCCCAGTGGCCCCTTGGACTTGCTGCTGCCAAAACATCACCGTGGGGGTTTCAACATGCTCCCCCCCAAAGGGTGGGGGGCCGGGACTCAGGGGAAGCTGCTCCTTACAGGAGGGACAGGCGGCCATGGGAAGGCCCAGGGGCAGGCAGGAGCACAGCCCAGCACACCCAGAGGGAGGACAGGGCGAGGTGGCAGGGCAGACCTGAACCCGAGTCGGTCTCTGCCCTCCATTTTTGGGCTCTTTTAACCCCAGAGGACCCCGTCCTGGCCGTCCCGCTGGCGGGGGCTGTACTCACACTTGGCGTGGCGGTCGCAGAGGGCGGAGGTGCGCATGTCGCACAGGCGGATGGTGCCTTTGCTGCTGCTGTAGACGAAGGTGTTGCAGTGGTGCGGGTGGAACTCGG